CTGTCACTGTATTCAGGTACTCATTCAAGAATTCAGCTCTTATCTCTGACACTTTTAGAAAAAAGACATAAAATTGAAGATACTAGTTGTAATGTTTGAGTCTGACAAGATGAGAAGACTTCAAGGCCATCAATTGGCACACAAAGTATCCATTAATTTGGAATGGTTGGAGGAAAAAAACCTCAGGTTTAAACCAATGAGGATACATAAAGTCTCTATGTATTTAGACTGAAGTAGTCAGTCAACAGTTACGTTTAATGCTTTATACTTGTCTGTGGTAAAGGTTCCAATTTAGCCAAGCCATGTTTGGGTGTCTTCTACCAGGTTAAGCCAAGAAAATGAGCTAAGTGTTATGCGATTTGTGATTCACTGATGTGCCCAGATGTGAAGTGTGGCAGCACTAACAATGTCTGAAGTTATTCATTTATTTATCATCCTATTTTCCTAAATAATATTCAAAGCAATATTTTAAAAAATGACATTATTGAAAAAAGCAACCAGTTGAAATAAGCAAACAAGGAAACACAGAAATAAATGGTAGCATTTAAAAAACTAACAGTATTTCTGAGAGCTAGTGTAGTGACATTGTTGTCAGATCTCTTGTCAACCCTTCGAGATAGGCCAGGTCAGAAAACAAATTCCACAAGAAATACTGGAACCCTAATTCGTAGGCTAGAGTAACAGAATCTTGAAACTTGACTGTGTTTTCTCTCTCCCTCCCTCTTATACCAAAGAGAGTTATGGTGGAGCCATTTTAAGTTTCTAATATTCTCTTCTTTTCCCAGGTTTAATTCATGTTTTGCTAACTATTGCATTTCTTTTCCAAGATCATCTCTGATTCTCTACATCTCCCCAGCAACAGTTAACACCTGAGAAACATCATTTCACCTTTTAAAAATTTTTGTTTATTTATTTGATTTTTAGGTCACCTATCTCCAAGTTCCTGGGTGATATATAAAAATATCAAACTTTGGATAATGAATTAAAACAGATCTCTTTCAATTGTCCTATGTTTAATTGTTCATTTAGGTTTTTTAACCTCTTGCCAAATGTTGATTGAATTCTACTTTAACACAATTTTACAATTGTATGTAGCATATATACACTATATACAATTGTAAAATTGTGTTATAGTAGAATTCAGTCATCATTTGGCAAGAGGTTAAAAAACCTAAATGAACAATTAAACATAGGACAATTGAAAGGGATCTGTTTTTAAAGCCTTAAAAAACAAGTAGCCTCTGTGTGCCGGGAAGTGAGTGCAACAGAAACAGGGCAACCATAGAAAAAGCTTTACCTCAAGTGGCATCTAGATGGGCCAGCTGTCACTAGAGACGTACCTCCCCAGAGAATCTTAGTGGGTAATGAGAATCTTGGAGGAGGAGGCATTCTCTGAAGCATTATGGGCCCAAGCTGTTTAGGGTTTTAAAAGGATAAGTGACAAGCTGTATCATACTTAAAAACATATTTCAAAATTGAGATTATATTTCAAAATGGCTGTAATTGGTAGCTAATTATAGCAGTTGAAGTTTCCGAGTGACGCACAAGAGCAGCCCAAAATAGAGTGCATTACAGAAATCAAGCCTGGAGGTTACTTGTAAATGTATCACTTTTTTTAGGTCATTAACATCTAGGAATGGATGAATCTGGTGTAAAAGCTGAAGATGATAAAAAGCAGTACTGGCAAGGACTCCACCTGAGGGATCATGAAGATGTCCAGATCAGAATGACTCCCTAGCTGCAAACCTGCTGTTTCTAGGAAAATGGGACCTATCATAGTTGGTGGGATATAGGCATCAGTATGTTGGCTTGGAAAATAATCTCTAGATTACAATGAATAGAATATCATGAACATGTTTGAGGTAAAACTGGGCTTTGGTTATCCTTGTGGCAGAGTGGCAAAGATATGCCCAAAATGATATTACCATTAGCAGGTAGCATAGGTGTGACTAATTCTGATAACCTAGTCTATAACTTCTCTATCTTACTCAAAAGTGTTATGTGAAAGTTGACTAATGATGTGATGGATGGTGGAGGTTAGTATCAATAGGTCTATCTGATTATGACCATATCATATGGAACTTGATGTATGCGAGAAGTAGATAGTAAGGAGCATGAATTAACAAATGACATGAAAGAAAGAAAATAGATATCTCATGTCATATAAAACTACAAGAAATGGGAAATATATATCTGAACAAAGGTGGTCTGATCTTACAGAATGTCATTTATGTATACATGCAAGGAAATAAAAGTGAAGATTTAATTTTGAATAAAAGAGCTAAAGTATATATCAGAAAACATGAATTGGTGTTATCTAGGTTGTTAGGGCTATGTATGAAAGCAGGAATTGATCAAATGCTTGATAGAATGGTGAAGTAAAAGAGATGTGAATGAAAACAAAAAAATGCACAGTGATTTTGATGAAAATAAAAATTGTTTTGGAGTGGGTGAACAGGATTAAACAAGGAGCCTCTAGTAAAGTCAACAGAATTAAAAATAAGAGTGATGAAATTATTTGGGGTTGAACTGAAGTGAGGACATGCTGAAGGCAATACTTTAGAGATTTGTATGGATATTATACTGATATGCCAAAGAATGGAACTGAAACAAATACTATAAATGTTGGTGCCCAAGAAAAAAAATGATGAAAAGAATATACTAAATGCTGTGAAGGTGTTGAAAAAAATGTAAGGCTGCAGGTACAGATGATGTAACTAGAGAAATGTTAAAATATTGGAGGTAGTTTCTTTTATGGAGTGGCTGTGCAATTTCTTTAGCATTTGTTTAAAGACAGCATCTGTGCCTGACAGTTGGAAGAACTCTATTATTGTCCCTCTACAGAAGAAGGAAAGATAGCAAAAGTGAATGCAGAAACTACTGCGGATAAGTTTGCTGAGTGTACTGGGAATGTATTTGGCAGAATTCTGATTAAAAGGATAAAAAAAGTGACAGCGAGCAAAATTTGGGAAGTGTAATGTGGCATAAGGAAGGAATATGCAGACCAGATTTTTGTTCTTCAGCAAATTATCGAGAAATGTATGAATATGAAAATGTATTGTATGTTTGTTGATTTTGAAAAAGTGTTTGATAAACTGAATCGATTTGAATTCAGATCGATTCAGCAACAAGCCTCATACAAAGATCTGTTATCTCCCCTTGTTCAATATTTTTTGTGAGATGGGCAGTATCTAAATTTGAAAAATAAATAAATAAATAAATAAATAAATTAATTAATTTTTGGATAAATGCATAAGGAATACTTGTAGTGATATTAGAAGTGTGTTAGTTGAATGCATATGTACTTTTTGTATGGATATTGATTGATTTAATTTATAGGCTGCCCAACTCCAAATGACTCTTACAACTAAAAAATAGCATACAGAAAATACAACCAACTGGAAGTTCAAAATAGCAAAATAAAATTTAAACTAATCAGACCAAAGAAACATCACAAAACAAAACAAAAAGACAGCTTCATACTCACCCTGGCCCCAAGGCCTGGGAGAACAATAAGGCCTTTAGCAATCTCCTGAATAACATAAGGAATTGTGCTATCCTCACTTGTTGGCTGTGATTTCCCTTTCTAACATGCATTTCAGATTGTCTTATTGCTTTATGATGAGAGGCAAACCATTATCTGGCTGCAGTTTATTATATGGGTTTTCTTTATAATCTTTATAATTTATATTTTTATATTTTATTTATTTAATTTAAATTTAAATTACATTATAATTTAAATTATAATTTATAATTTATAAAGAATTTATAATTCTTTATAATCTTTATAATCATAATATTAATAAAAAAACCCTTGGAAACTAAAACTTGATGCTGAGTGTTATCTGAGTACATATGTGAGACCTGGGTAGGCTGTCTCAGTGGGAAAGGGCCCATATTCCCTGCCACGCCTAAAACACATTGCAAATGGAGTTTGACAGAGTGCACAGGAAGGAAAGAATCAGCAAAGAGGCTGCAGTACTGTACTGGAATTCAGATTTGCATGATGCAGTGAGATATGGCAACATGGTGGTAAGCAAAAGGAATCTGGCCCCACCATGCTCACTTTATCTCAGTAATTTTCAGTACTTTTTATTCTTGCATCTAATGAGACTTAACTGATTGTCTTGGTAACCTGTTATAAACAGTAGACATGTTACAAAAGCATATTAGATTTTAATCCTTCTCTTCAACCTGATAAGAGTTCTGAAAAACTCAAAAGCGTTCATGATTTTGAGACATTCTAGGTGGACCTATTAAAGGATTTCTCTGGGTACAAAGGCATTAGGTAAACTATATAAGTAAAGAATGAACAAAGATTATTAATCAATATTCCCGGTTTGTCTAGAAATATCTCCTAGGTTTTTCTGGGGTAACAAATACTTACTTTCTATCTCTCTTACCTTGTACAAATGCTACCTTGAATTGATTGCTACTATATGAAGAGAAAATTATCAAGTATTCATCCTTTTAAATTCTAGTTTCTCTACTAAGATATTATGCATGGGGTCATTCTTTAAGGTATGCAAAAGAGAAGAATTAGGAAGCCAACTGTTAAATGGATCGTTTGTATGAGACTTTATGAGCAGTATGAATCTAGGCAAATGTAGGTCAAGAATCAGAGACAAGTATCTTTGATTTTATGAAGCAAAGGTGAAGAAAAGTGTTTTATTTTTGTAGATTAGAAGTAAAATGTTGCTTTCTGATCAGCTACAGAGGCATGCTAAGGTGAATTTTAATTATGACTAAATTGTGGTATTACTCTTTCATACCCTGAACATCTGTTCCCTTCAGGAATGATGATTTATGCAGGCTATCAATAGAGACAGCTTGCTACAGCTTATGTCACGGTTTGCGGAAAGATGGGGTCGTATTTCCAAAAATACCAGCTTTTATGTGGATAGCAGCCAGTGTGTTATTAAGGTAATAGGGGAAAGGGAGCATGATATGTTCGCTTTTAATTCTGAAACTAAATATTTACTTTACTTCTTTTCTTCCAGACCATCTGTTGTTAATGAAGAATGCAACTTGGACACTGAATGGTCTCATTTTTCCTAGAGATGTCAAGAGAAGAAAAGCTGAGCCTGTGCTTTCCAAACGTATGAAGAAACTTACAGAAAAGCCCAAGATCAGACTTTTGGTGTTTAAGAACTGCATGGGACAGGATGGTTATGAAATAGCAGCATCTCCAAACCAAATTGAAAAGGTATATTGAGATGTGGCATGGCAAAATCCAAGTATGTGAAGAAAGTTTTCACTTTTGTTTTATTATTTGTTATTGGTCCATTTAGTTATATGATAAGAGTAGAGATAATTCAGCTGTGGAGTTTACAAAAAAAAATGCATGTACACCTCCCACAGATAATTGAATAGATACCATTATGCACTATCATGTTTTGTTTTTATTTTTTACTGGATCATTAATTCTAATCTTCTGGGTTTGGATTTCCCACTCATGTTAATGTGGTTCCATTAAAATTTGTATGTGGAGAACTAGAATGGATTTATACTACTTAGGATGAGTTTTCCCCCCTAACAATAAAGGAGTTCATATTGTACTACACATCTATTATCTCTGGCCATTTTATGATCCCAAATTGCAGTGATTGTTTCTTATGATAAATCTCAGGCTATTTTCCTAGGGTAATAGCAAAATAGATTCATTCTGCAATCCTTCCCTGGTATAGATTCAGGCACAAGTTTTGAATCTTACTGGTAGCGTACATCTTATTTCTGCAGCTTATTATGTTCTTAATGCTATGTAGTTCAGTTGAAGAGCTTTGAAAAAGAGGTATGAGAACCAGTATTTCTATTCAGGCTGATCTATGGAGTTTTTATAAGTATATAAGTTTGCTTTGTATGTTCATGTTTAAATTCTGGAAGAAGAAAAAGAAGAAAACAAATCCAAAGAAACTGAGCATTACAGGATTGGACAGGGAAAGAAAAGGGGTATAGATGGTTAAAGAGTGGTGCATGGACACTTCTTCCTCTCAGACAAGGTCTAATTCCTCTATTCCCAGCTTTAATTTAAAAATGGACTAATCTGTCTATTTTATTAAAAAAAGCTCTTCCTGCTTCAAAGTGTTTTCAATTCATGAATGAATAGACATAGTAATAATTAATATACCCAGTCTGGAGATGGAAGTTGCATTTGTCATAGAAAGGAAGATAGGTATTTTTTATTGTTTGTTTCATTGTTGAGAAGTGACTCTGGGTGGCAAACAATCATAAAAACAATTAAAACAGTTAAAACAATACAAAATACAAATTAAATACAAATATTAGCCAAGAGATATTATAATCCATCAGTGTCAAGATAGCACTCAGAAGGCTCAAACACTCAGAAGGCCACTCAGTCTTACCTGGGTTGAGCCGAAGCCCATTGTGCCCCATCTAGGCCCTTACATCCTCCAGGCACTGACACGATGTCCATTTCATCACTCAGGCAGCCTGGGGTGGAGATATAAAGCTGGGTATCATCAGCATACTGATGATCCCTCACCCCAAACCATTGGATCACCTCACCCAGCAGCATAATGATAATAAATATTTTTATTATTGTATTATTTTATTAATAAAATAATATTTAAAAAACCGGATTGGGCGATAATATTGTGAAATCTTCAAATTTACTGAAAATGATCCTAAATGGGTGAGATAATATTTTTCTCTTGAACAATGCTAAATGTACTACTAAGTATATTTATACTTTATTCTAAAAATGAAATAAAGTAAAAGATTTAAATATTAATTAATCCGCTTTTGATTTTGTTAAGTTTTTAGATATTTGTACCATGAGACTGAACCTTATTTCACCAGCAAAGTATATATACAATATGCATGGAGAAAAAATGGAAGATCTCCTAAATGGTAAGAATTGCACTATTTGCTATTATAAAACAACAAACAGCAGCAGTATGGATGGTATGAATCGGCTAGTTCATGTATGCATAAATGTTTGAAAGCTATATATAAAAGAAAGTCTTCTTATGCCTTTATTGGGGGGCAATGCACCCTATGATTTCAATAATGTACTGAAATTTTTATGTCAGTCAAATCACATTAATTTAGTCAATGACCAGATCAATTCTTAACGGTTTTCCTATAAATTCTTTTTTTTTTTTGTACAATGGAAATTTAACTCATTGAAGGCTGCTACTTCTAGTTTCCATCTGAACAAATACTGCATCTTTCCACTGTTCCTAATTTGACTAGCATCATTATAGATTTCTTTTAGTATGTGTGTGTGTATGTATGTATTAAATTATTTGGCTGTACATAGGAAAGGACAACTTGTATAGCAATTGTGTTTGGCTGAAGGAAGAAACAACCTCCTCAAAAGGTCTAGATCATTGCAGGAGAATTAAGCACTCACAGGAATAAATGTATTATTGGGTTTCACATAAAAGCTATTTTGACTATGGGATCAATACTGATCAGTCTAAAAACACAAAATAACAGGGTTGAACTCCTGTAGCATGCTTTATAATAAGCCCAACTTCATGTATTAGTGATTTGCCAAATAAATTTATCATGTTCAGGGTGCCAATGGAGCTTGGATTTGTGTGTGTGTGGGGGGGGGAGAGAGAGAGAGAGAGAGAGATTTTTCTAAGCACAAAAAATGCTGCTGCAGAGATAAAACAGATGGTCATGTATTGAGCTTATTAAATGGACAAACAGAAAGAGCTAGCAAGAGTGTGGCAGCAAAGTCTGGTAGGGTTGTTTAATACAAAGACACTTAACAAATGTTTCCTCTAAAAGGACAGTGGGCATTTGACTACTCTAATGATTGATGAGGAGAATCACTACTATTGACTTAAAGAACTGAAGTGAAAACGAATATATGTGACTTTGCAATTGTCATCTACAATGCTTGTGGTATGTTTGTTCCTACTTGAGAAAAACCTGATATATACTTGCAGCAAGCTCATAGCAACATTTGAAGAAAGAGTGCAAGGCTTGGAACAGTGATTGGATATACTTCAGTTCATAAGAGAGGATGAAGATGTGTTAGACCAAAGGACTACAACAGGATCTGATAGAGGAGAAGCAGATCTTCATGAAGAAGAGAATCAAAGATATAAGCTCAGTGGATGAAACTGACAACCAAAATAAGGTGTAGAAGTTATTGTGGTCCTGGGAATTTGGATACAGCTTTCAGGCCTTTGCAGAAAACAAAAACAAAAAACCCAGAGTAAAGGAGGCATGGTTGAACAGGAGACTAGGAAAGTGAATTTCTATACAGTATTGGAGATGCAATGAAACTGAATATTAAAAGAGGATTACCAAAAAAAAAAAAAGTTATGGCATACTTTAACTCAGTACTGTGAACAACAGAATAAAAAAACTGTTGAGTGAACTTGTTGGCTTATGAAGGGTATTGTCTGCCAATAGCACAGATTAGGATGATAGAACAACTCTTGAGTATACATTCGTATGGAAGCAATAATTTTAAAAAACAGATTAAGGACTTTTAAACTGAAGGAGAAAGTGAAACAAAGGCTGTGGTAAAGCATATCAAACACTCAGTCAAAAATCAGAAAGATTTTTATTGTCTCATAAAGTTAATGGCCAAGCGATATACGCTAATATTCAGAATATAGGAACTAAACAAAATGAGCTTAAATTAACAGTATTAAGAAGACCATTTCAACTTACTAGATACAAATGAAACCTGGAGGGGTGAATCCTGTGGTTTGAATTAAAGGATCCAATTTGTTCAAAAGTGACAGAAGCAAGAGGAAAGAGGTGGAGTTGCTCTGTTTATTGAAAATAATCACACCTGCTCAGAAATTAAAATTAACTCAGTGATGATGTAAAGAGCATCTGGGTTAAAATATGTAGTGGAATGAATAAAAACAATAGTGTTAATAACTTTACTATCAACTAACCAATCAAAGAGAAAATGTAGTTGATGTTTTCCAGAAGCAAAGTACAGATCTTTCAAAGAGACATGTTGCAGTAGTGGTAAGGGACTTTTAATTACTCCAACATCTGTTGGGAACCTAAACTAGGATGTATGGGAGGATTTGTTGTTTTTTTAAAAGGAAATATTAAAATTACAATTGCAAACAATTCTAACAAATAAGAAGATAGCAGAAGAAACCAATGTGACTGCACAGATAGTTTAGTGAAAATTTGAAAATGGAAAAGAATACATAGGAAATAGAGAGAACCAGGTTACCAGAAAAGAGTATATAGAGGGAGAGAAACTGAATGGTATCAAAAACCTAAAATAATAAGCTGAGGTTGTCAAAAGATGCTAAGAATAGCCAAAAAGGCTTCTTCAGATGTATTCAAAATAAAGGAGAAAAGAATCAGCATACCACCTACTTAACTAAGACAGCAAAAGTTAATAAAGAAAAAGCAGAACTTGATTCCTACTTTGGTTTACTCTTCTCTAAAAGGCAATTGGCAGGATTGAAGACTCCAAGTTTACTTTGAGTGAGTTTAAATTGCCAGATTCAGATGAATTCCATTTTAGGATATTGTAGAAACTTGCTAATGGACTAACTTTTATAAGTTATCTCTGAGAATTCTTGGAAAATACATGAGGTACTGGATGACTATAGGAGAGCAAATGTTATTTCTCCTATGTTCTTTCATAGAAGGGAGAAAGAAGAATCTTGGGTCTAAACTAAGCTACACACTAATTGGTCTGACATCAGGACTTGTGAAGATTCTAGAACAGGTCAATTAAAAAATGGATCTGTAAGCATCTTGAAAACAATGCAGTGATTACCAGAAGTTAGCATAGAATCGTCAAAACAAGTTTTGCTAGACTAATGTTATTTCATTTTTTGACAGGATAATTTTCTTAGTAGATTGTAGGAATGCTATAGATTAATGGCTTGATTTCAGCAAAGTATTTGGCAAGTTAAGTGTGGGATGGATGGTATGACAATTAAATGGAGACATAGCTGATTCAAAAATTCAGAGTTCTCTCACCTATGGTTCCTCATCAATGTGGAAGAGAAGTACTGAGTAAGATACCACAATATTCAGTTCTTAGGCCATATACACTTCAATGTGTTTATTAATGGCGGAGATGCAGAGGTGGAGAGGGTGCTTATCTAATTTGCAAGTGGCACAAAATTGACTTGGATAGCTAATGTCCTAGAAGACAAAAATTAATCTTCATAGTGATCTTACTGAGTTAGAGCACAGGCTGAAAAAAAATGCAGTTTAATCAAGGGAAATCTAAAATCACTTAGGAAACACACCAAACAGATATGAAATCAGGTGCATTTGATTTATTGATTATTGAATAGTAGTTGATTACAAACAGAATATGAGTCAGCATGTGGCTATAAAAATGCGAATGCTTGTCTGTACATGGGTAATGTATAATGGTTGAATCATGGGAAGTTGGAATGCAGTAGAGATCCAGTTTCTCAGGAAGGAGGGAGTGCATTCCAAGAGGGGAAGAGGGGAGAAAAGAGGCAGCGTAGTCCAGAGCAGGAGCGTGGGAAGAAGAAGAGACTGAGTATAGCCACTCCCTAGAATCACCCTTATATCCATTAGGTTAACATAGTATAAATTTAGTTTGGCAAGATTCGGTTTATATGGTGTAAGCAATAAAGAACTGAACTTGATTGGATTGTTTCCCTGTTGTTCTTGGGCTGGGCCTGACAGAAGAAAACATTCCACTTTATTCTTTGTTGGTCAGACTATGTCTCAAGTATTAGAAGACCTGGCTCTGCCAACTTGCATGGGGAGAAAAGAGGGGCAACCAACCTGGGGGTGGCTAGCACCTTGAAGATGCTCCTATAGGTTAATATCCTTATCTACCAGCAGTACCTTGGAAGATATTATTTATGTATGAATGATTTTTACTGTATTTAATTAATATTTATTCTTGTTTTTACTTTAAACAGCCCAGAGTTTTTTCCTAGTAAGATGGGTGGTGACCAAATTTGAAATATAAATTAAATAAATAAATTATGTCCATTTCTGGACCTCAGACTTTAAGGAGGAGTCAGACAAATCAGAACAGGCTAAGAGAAGGGCAACAAAAATAATAAAAAGACTAGAATTAAATCCTCTAAAGAGAAGTTGAAGGAATGGAGAATTTTCAGCCTTGAGAAGAGAAGACTAGGGGATGTGACACCATTCTTGAAATACTTTAAAAGATGTCGTATAGAAGAACACCAAGAAAGCAGTAATCCTATAAGGCAGGATAGGAAATCATGGGTTACAGTAAGCCAGAGGTATTAGTTGAATACTAGAAAGGTTTCCTAATTCTAAGTACAATTTGACAGTGGAACCAGTTACCTAGTGATGTGGTAGCTTAAAGGGCTGAAGGAAAGACTGAAACCGATTGATCAATTCCAGAGGAATGGGTTCTTCATATTCTTCCCTTGTTTCTTTTACTGAATGAGGAAGTAGTTGCTATACTGTATTCTTTTGTAGGGAACTAATAGAACTAGTTTTCATTTATTTTCTTTTTTCAGTCAGATAGATAGATAGAGTCCTATACATGTTTTGACTGTGCTTTATGAGGCTTTCCTGAGTTCCAGTCCATTCATTTCTTAAACCTTTACAACACAAGCTTAAATGAAATTGGAATATTTTTGGATTATCTTTATCTTTTCTATATCTTTATCTTTTTTATAACTATGTACAGTTAAGGCTACAGTTTAATCATCGGCTTGTAAATCTTTTTGCAAATCTGGAGCTTGCAGAGAACACCTCTGTCAGTGTTCAGTATAATTGCTGCCAAGCTGGCCAATAGCTGAATGTCTTTTATGCCCATATACTCATTCCAATTTCAAGTCCATTCATTTGTAAACTAACAAAAATTACTTCATTCCGTGTTCACAAAAAGAATAACAACTTAAAAAAAACCACAACTACCTGGATTTCTCGTCACATACAGCATGGCTTTGTTTACATTTGTCAGGTAGTTTTCTGAGAGGTGATAC